TCTCCCTTCCTCTCTGGAAAAAAAAAATCAATAAAATATATTTTTTTAAAAATAGATTTACTTTTTAACTTTTCCTTCAGCCTTGTATTAAGCAAAAGTAGTCAATGGATCATGAGTTGGAAGTTCTAATTTACTTCTTTATATAATAGCATATTAAAATATATGCACCATTATTAAAATAAAAACGCTTGCCTGTGAACACACAGAGTCATCTCACTAGCTACAGGTAGCCTAAGTGGGCGAGACTGACACTGAAGGCCGGAATTCCTCACACAACACACGGAGAGTGTAGCCAGCCCCTCACTCAGATAATAGAGGAGACAAGCAAGTGCCTGGAGAGAAGAGCTGTGTGGGCACCGTTAACACAGCTATTTATGGCAGAACTGGGACCAAAATCACAGAGCATTTCTCTGACGGTGCTTACTAGATTTCCTCCCCTCTAGCTAGAGAAAAGCTGTTTGTACCTTCTTCTGTTTAAAAGCCCTCATGTCACTAAACAGCCTATCATCAGAGAGTCCCTTCAGCTCAATTAGATAATTCCCTTGTTTTCCCTTCCATGGTGAGTGTCTGTTGGCAGCTGACCACACACATTTACAAACCCTCATACATACTATACTGACAATCTCCCACCTACTCAATCTTCACCTTCCCAAAGTAGAATTCAGAATACAACCCCAGATTCCCCTGCAGCAAGGTGGAGGCATTGTGTTGGCTTGTGTTGGCCAATCAGAAGTGCCAGCAAAGAATGAGCCTGGAAGTAAGCAGTGTGAGGATGGCCCTGTCCACCAGGAAATCTATGATAAGGCTGGTCAGCCTTCAAGACTGGCAGTGGCAGAGTTTCAGGCATCTGGTTCTACATGTTACCTGAGTGGCAGCTGCAGTAGGAGAGGCTCCCGCGGTGTAGATGGGTGATGCTTCTGGCTGTGAGACTTTAGGATCCTCCTGCCGGAGCTTTCTGATTTCTCTAGGAGCTACCTGCTATCTTTAAGAAATTCTTTTTGTGGCTTGGACTAGTCAGAGTGGGTTCCAATTGGAATTAATAACCTTAACCAATACAGCTCCTTCACAGCTGTGGTCTTCTATAGAGATTCCTAATGCAGGGTCAACCTGGGTTTCCTCCCCTGAGCAGGTAGGTAGTTATGACACAAGTTGCCTGACAACTATTTCAACAATAAAATTTTATGACAGGATGAATCACAACTACCTTCAATGGGCTTTAATAAAAGCCTATATAATTTCATTAGTCTTCATTATTAATTTTACAAAAAAAATGAATTTCAATCCCTAAACATCTTACAATAATTATTTTGAGTTAGAAATTGCTATTGCCACTTAAACACTTTGGATCTTCCAAGACCCACACTTCACGGCATAAGTGATATTATTCATGCATGTAATTACTCATTTTGTAAGAAATCTTATTAGGTAGTTCTGGAATACATGGTGACTATTCTACAATATATTGCTTACCCATAAGCTTCAAAATTAAGTATTAAATATTAAAGACAGACTTGGTTTCTTAATAATTGTAAATGTATCATTTATTTTAACTTTCAAGTAGAATGTGTCCAAAAATTAAAAAACAAAACAAAACAGGATTAATTCTCACCACCAATTACATCTATTACTTTGTCATGCCTTTTTAAAATGTGTTGAGGAAATATTATTTTTGTCTCTGTGTAATAAAAGCTTCAAATGACCACAAGTGCTATTATTAACTCCAGTTAATTAGTCATAGGAATGATTTAAAAAAAAAAAAGTGATAATGATACTGAATTAAAGCCCTTTCAATCTGGGTCAAAAGAAGAAGTATATTTTATAATATACTTATTTACTTTTCTTCCAATTTGTGTAAGCATTAAAGAGGAAGGAAGGAATGAAGAATTAAACCCAGGGAGAACTAATATTGGGGAAATTGGTGAAGCAAAGTGAGCCAGGAAACCTGATGAGACAGTTACCAGGAGAGAGAAGGATGGAGTCTGGAAGGACAGTGCCTTAGAAGCCAAGGAAAGAATGTCAAGATTGCCATTAAATGAAAAAAACATGTGGTGAAAAGATCTCCACCTCCCAGCTACGGTCCTTCCCCCGCTTCCTGAGGCAGAGCAGGCCTTGGGGGAGACATCTAGTTCTCCCTAACCATTCCACTGCAGAATGATTAATTCTCATGTGGAAATAAAAGATAAGAAAGGTACTGCTTCTTACGGCAAAGTTCAAGGAAAACTGAGTGTGGTTTTCCATAAGGTACAGACCTTCCAAGAGTTTAGGCACTAACAATTCTGGAACCACTTACAAACAATTTGCTAAATCTCACTGGCTTGCCGTTGTGCCAATTAGGCTTCTCATTTTTAGAGGCATAACTTAAATAAAGTTAAATAAAAGTCCTAATACCAGAAAAGACCACATGTCTGGGGAAAAAAAGTTTTTAGTTAATACGGTGTTCTACTCTGTGCCCAACCTCTTCCCATTTCTTGGCTGAGTTTTGGTTTTGGCACCTTTTAGAGGCTTGGAAAGCAGCTAGGGTTCTGGAAGGCAATAAAAATTAACTTCACCAAGCAGTAGCCTACGTGAGAAAATCCACAGACCTCCTTAGGAGAGCCACGAGTTTTAAAGGAAAAATGCTCATTTTAAAAATTGTTTAGACAGACGTGAAATAGGTTAAGGTTTTTGATAACCTTGCAGCATATTGGAAGAACACAAGTTGAAATGGGCTGAATGTAACTATTTTACATATTGTTAACTACTAGCTAAAATTGCAGTTTCTTGTCTTGGAAGGTGACATTTCAGGGATTTTTATAAATTGCAAAGCTTTGAAGTTGTTATGTTACCAAAGAATACTTAACCAGATTTATGAGGCCCAGCACATTTAGGACCTGTGTGAATGGGAATCCTGGCTTCAGACTCTAACTCCATCTTACTGGCTCTGTGACCTTATCAATGTTTCTAAACTACTCTGAGCTCTGGTCTCCTCAGGTACAAACGAATAATAATTACAAGGTTATGGGGGGATTATGTAAGATAATTATATAGCACACTTACTTAGCAGAGTGCCTTGTGTGGTTAATGCTCAGTAAGACAATTTAAAATAATTCCTAAAGAAGTGGGAGGACTAGATTTCTACTCATTGTATGTGCCAAGTCCAATATTATTAGAGACTAGAGGCCCAGTGCATGAAAGTCATGCACGGGTAGGGTCCTTAGGCCTGGCTGGCAATCAGGGCTGATCTGTGAGGCGGCTGGCAGGGCAATCCGGAGGGCCCCCATCAGCACCCATCTTGGCTGGCCCGGGGCCTACTAGCTGGGGGAAGCTCCTGAGTGAGTGTCTGCCCCCCAGTGGTCAGTGCACATCACAGTGACCAGTTGTTCTACTGGTCATTCTGTCATTCGGTCAATTTACATATTAGACTTTTATTTTATACTAGTGGTCCGGTGCATGAAATTTGTGCAGCCCGGCCTGCACCCTCTCCAATATGGGACCCTTTGGGAGATCCTGTGGGATTGGGCCTAAACCAGCAGTAGGACATCCCTCTTGCAATCTGGCACTGCTGGCTCCTAACCGCTCACCTGCCTACCTCCTAATTGCCCCTAACCACTCTATCTGCCGGCCTGATTGCCACCAACTGCCCCCCCCCCTTCCACCAGCCTGATTGCCCCCATCTGCCTGTCCTCCCTGCTGGCCTTCTTGCCCCACCTGCCACCCTGCCAGCCTGCTTGCCCCCAACTGCCCCCCTGCCACCTGCTCACCCCAACTGCCCTTCCTGCTGGCCTGCTCTCCCCCAACTGTCCCCTACCCCTGCCAGCCTGATTGCTCCTAACCACCTCTGCCTCGGCCCCTCCACCATGGCTCTGTCTGGAAGGATGTCAGGAAGGTCTCCTGGTCTAATTAGCATATTACTCTTTTATTAGCATAGATTTATATGGAGGAAGACAGAATAAGCATGTAGATAACTAAGTAAATATGATTTTGGTAATAAGTACTACAAAAATTGAGTTAGATTAATGTATGTGTGGATGGGGTTAATGTTTTACATGGAGCAGGCAAAGAGGCAATCTCTGGGGAGATAATATTTGAAAGGAAATCTGAATGTTGAAAAAGGGGAGTCCTTGGGAAGATCTGTAGGAGAGCTTTCTGGGTATAGACAACAATAAATGTAGAAGTTCTTACCCATAAGAATTTAAAAATTAAGTGTTAAAGGAAGAGAGGGCCAGTGTAATGAACTAAGAAAGTAAAAGATTAATGGAGAGCAAGTGTCAGATTATGGAGTCTTGTAAAGATTTGGTAAAAAATTTGGATTTAGTCTAAGTATTATGGGAAGGATTTTAAGTTAAGATTTTACAGCTTCAGTGCCAGCTGGTTTGAATTAGTGGATAGAGTGTAAGCCTAAGAACTAAAGGGTTCTGGGTTCAATTCCCGTCAAGGGCACATGCCTGGGTTGTGGGCTCAATCTCCAGTAGGAGGCAGCCAATCAATGGTTCTCTCTCATCATTGATGTTTCTATCTTTATCTTCCTCTTCTTTCCTCTTTGAAATCAATAAAAGTATTTTAAAAAAAAGATTTTACAGCTTCAGTTTTATTTTTTAAGTTTAATCCTTACCCAAAGATATTTATTGATTTTTTACTTGAGAAAGAGAGACAGACAGACAGAGAGACAGAGACAGAGAGAAAAAGAAAGAGAGAGAAACATAAATTGGACGACCGGACACTTAGCATATTAGGCTTTTACTATATAGGATATTTATGAAAATAATATTCATTGTATACATTAAACTATGCCAGTAAAAATTATAACATAAATGGTTTTACTAGGTTTTAAATCAAATAATTAAGAAATTGCACACACACACACACACACACACACACACCCTGCCCCTCCAATGCACAAATGATACTCTGTTGAAAATCTTTCCGTGATTCATGGACACTGTAAGCCCCACCCACTAATGGTAGACCCTAGTGTAGGGTCCTCATGATTTTATCAATAATATTATTAGGAAATGACTGACCTTGGAGGCCGGGACTCTTCCACCAGCATGGGTTCTGGAGGGCTGACTGCTCTCATGGCTTGTGGCTTTTTTCTTGAAAATAGAAAATATTTGTTTCAACGGGAGAAAACATCTTAACCATGTAAAGTGCAGATTTTCATACCAATACAAATATCCTCTCAAGTAAGAATCAGACTATCACATACTAAGCACCAAAAAAAAAAATTATGTCTTTTAATATTTTATACTTTTGCCTGAAGACTACATCAATATTGAAAAGGAAGAGTAAGTGGAATAAATCCCAGCTGGCCAATAGTCAGTGATTTCGGAGAAGAGGAAGAATCCTCACATGGCCATTGCTGTTTCCCACCACAGTGCACTTCCGGAAACTAAGGAGCAGTTGCCTCCTCCGTACAGTGCTATGGAGAGAACATGGTACATACACCCTCTGAGTGGGGTGGCCTGGCAGGAAGCAGCAAAGATGAAATTCTACTTCTAAAAATTTACCTTAGGGAAATAAGATGAAAAGAGCAAAAGCCTTTTTTCTTCCAAGATACTCATCATGTAGTATAACATAAAAATTTGAAGATAATGTAAGTAAGAATGAATGTTTATTGTATACTTACCATGTGCCAGGTAATTATTCTACTAGAATAATGGAATTATAGATAATAATAGAATAATAATGGTCTAATAATAGAATATCTGAGAGTATTACTGTAAGTGCTCTCAGCATATAGTAACTTATTTCATTCTTACATTACTGAATATAATGCTGGTACTATTGTTACCCCCATTTTGTGGAAGAGGGGACTGAGGAATGGAATGGGCACAAAATGTGGCCATGGTCACAGCTAACAAAAAGGAGAATGTCTGCTTCAGACTATTTTCTAATCTCCTATCCTGCCTCCTGCAATCAGGGGTTATGCTATGGACAGCAACAGGATGAAATATGCCATTATTAAAACTTACATTGAGAAGAACCTTTCATTAAATGAAAATATTCATATTTTATGTAAAGAAATTCAGATTATAAAATAGGTTATTTTCTAATGATATGGTTAAGAGCAATTTTTAAAAATATTCTCCATTGTGCTTTTTTGAATTTTCTTATATAACTGTTAACTACGTATTCACCTGAATGAATGGAGGGAGGAGGAGAAATGTGAAATACATAATTACTTTCTGAACAAGGCTTTGATAGCTTATACTTCTCATTAACATCTATATTTCAAAGAAGCAAACATATAAAGTTTTATCATATAAAATGGTGAGATTAGTCTCCATCCATAAAATCTGAACAATGGACTCTATACACGGAATACAGGAGAGATGGTGATGCACTAATTAGCTGACACATAACACATTAAAAAGTTGAATGTCTATACAGCAAAAAATTAAAAAATATAGAATTGAGAAAATTTTGGTCTAATTGTTTAACATTTAGTAAGACTAGTTAGCAAAATTTGCTTTGCTTCATATTTTTTAAAATGCCTGCCACGGAAGCTTGAGTAGAAGCCTCGTTTTCCCTCTCGGTAAACGTTGTCTTCGCAAGAAGCAAAGTCAAACCTGAGCTTCCTGTCCTCAAAGTATAATCTCTAGGTGCCTGGGGGCTGACCCTTCTCAGAGCGCTCCAGGGAGATCAGTCTCTGAAACAGCAAGGTGGACACGGTTTATAAAATGGGCATCGAAAAGGCCTCAGAGTGCCAGGCAGGAGTGCCAGGCGCCCAGGCATCACCAGGAGGCTGAACAGTCTCCCCAAAGCACATGTGCACCACCATCAACCAAGGGAAGGAAAATCCTAAGTAAACTGATAGAAATAAAGAGGCTGCTAAAAAGCTAGTAATGCAGGTGTGATACGGGGCATGGTGAAAGGAGGGATGGCCTAAATTTTATCCATAAAACAAGGCTCTTTTAAAAATATAAAATGCACTAACAAACAGCTCTGATAACCTCCATGTATACTTGGATCCAGTGTAAGGGACCAAGCATAAGAAATAAAGACAAGAACACAGCAATGGGGCTGTTCAACTTAACCTCATTTCCCTTCCCACCTCCTCATTTTGCAGGGAGGAGACTTCAGTCCAGAGAGGCCACGCCATTGTCCCGTGTGCCCCAGCTGCCCCTCACTCCAGCTATCAGTGTTTGGTCTCAGCTACAACCGAGGAAGGTCACTTTCCTGCTCTGTGCTAAGGAGAGCTCCCATTCATCACGTCCAAGCCCACATTCCGCACCCTGGCTCATCTGCAAAGGAATTCCACTGCCACACACAAGAATTCAAAAACTTGCCTTTGTCTGAGTTATAGAACTACTACTAAGTTAAAAGCAATAACTACTTAAACACATGCTGATTTTTATTTTACCTGTATATCAAATCAAAGTGTACTTTCAAAATATCGATTTACTAGTAAGTTCAATGTCTTCTAACTCAAAAGATGACTCAAACGTTGAGGGCATCTCAGCCGGGACCGGTTTGGCTCAGTGGATAGAGCGTCGGCCTGCGGACTGAAAGGTCCTGGGTTCGATTCCGGTCAAGGACATGTACCTTGGTTGCGGGCACATCCCCAGTAGGGGGTGTGCAAGAGGCAGCTGGTCGATGTTTCTCTTTCATCCACATTTCTAACTCTCTGTCCCTCTCAATTCCTCTCTGTGTAAAATCAATAAAATATATTAAAAAAAAAAAAAAGTTAAGGGCATCTCAGTTTTCCTATGGGAATGGCCTGTCACTCGAAGCTTGCCTTTCCTCTGAGCTACCTGGACTACCTGGTCTACAAAGGACCCATTTAATTCAGCTGAAACAAGGGCAGAATTTGAATGAATGAATGAATAAATAAATAAAATATATTTAACTATAGATTGTTGGTTGATATATAAGACTTGGTTCTCTTTCTCCGATTGTGTCTGACTTTACGCATTCATCCCTTCATTCATTTGCTCATTGGACAGACATTTATTGAACCCTGGCTATAAGCCTGGTCCTGTTCTAGGCAGTAGGGATGTAATGATCATTTAAACAGAAAAAAAGTCCTATTCTTACAGTGCTTACATTACAGTCAGAGGGCTCTAAATAAGCCAACAAAAAACAAACAAAATAATTTGGGTTAAGTGAACAAAGACACGAAAACAGGGTAATGACACTAAAGCAGGATGTCTGGCTGAGGGCTGCTTCCGATGGGATGGACAAAAGTGATGTTTGACTGAGACCTGACTGCAAACAAACCAATCACGCACATATGGGATAGGGGAGAGGAGGCATTCTAGGTGGACAGAGGAGTGTGTACACAGGCCCTGATGTGGGAATGAGCTTGGCAAGTCTGAGGAACAGAAAGAAGTTAGTGCAGGTGCAGCACGGTGTGCACAGGCATGTGTATGAGATGAAACAGGATGCAGGATCAAAATATTTGGACTGAAGTAAGAGGTTTAGGATGGCCCCACCATCAGGTGTGTTTGATCACCAGTTTCTCCCAGCACTGGCCTGCTTCCTGATCTTTTCTGGGTGCCATCTAGCCCCCGTGAGTCCTCCCAAGTGAAACGTTCTCAATCCTCTGGCTTCTGTTGACAGGTGTCTTCCTCACCCTCATTCCCCCAGCTCCTCACCATCATCATTGGTCCTCAGACAGCCCACTCAAACCTGGACACTCCTCTCCCTTAGGTGGGTGTGCATATCCACTAACTCGTACTAGGGCTGGATCTACCCCCAGATAAAACAGAACTAATTCATCAGCTCACAGAAGGCTCACAATAAGCTCATTTGTCTATGACTCTGCGTTTGGCCTAACATACAAATTAACTCTAGTCTTTAAAACATTACGATGTTAAGTGAGGATGTCAATACTATGATAATTCAAATTTTGAATTAAATTCCTTTTCCACAAACTTACAGACGAAAGGCCATGGAGCAGCTTTTTCCTTGCCAACCAATTGTTCTCCTGATCTGTGAGCTCTGTTTTGTTTAAGATTTATAGAAAGGAAGTGATCAGGAGCAGCCTGCCCCTCACTCCTGCATGTCACAGGCCTGACTGAGTCATGCCCTCCTAGTAGCTCATCATGTCACAGGGCCTCAGTCCTCCCGATTGACAGGGACAGAAGGGGAACCCTCCACGCCCTTTTTGCCTCTACTGGACTCAAACTGCAGGACACCAAGACTGGTCCAGTTACAGAGAGCATGAGTAATCTCTCCTGCTCAGACACAGGCTCCTGAGCATGCACAGGCCCTGAGCCCATGCACTATGAAACCACACCTGCTCCTTTAAGGGGCCTTCCCGTCCCCAACAAGGGCGGAGAGTCTGACAGCCAAAAGACACACAAAGAGGCACCTCATGCTGAAGCAAGGAAGTTCAATAAAGAATGCCCAGATTAGATCAATTATCTGCAGTTGCAGAAAGGCATGAAAAGAATCATATAACTTTTTTTGTATTTGTTGTAGTACATAATAAACATTTTTATTGAATGAATCAGAACTCAAGTTTTAAAAGCTGTTTTCAATGTAGCAATGCAGCACCAAGAGGCAGGTAGAGAATTGCTCAATGACTATCTCCTAAAAAATCTCAAGAAAGGCCCTTGGAGTGGAGCTTCATGTCAGTCTGAAGTTTGGTAGCTCTGTAAAAGGTACCACATTCTCTAGAATACGGCTCTATCTTTTGATACATGTAGCAACAATTCTGGCACCACCAAACATCAGCTATGATTTGGACAAGTTAATTTTCTCATCTGAAAAACGGAATGGCCTTACCCAAACTTCTGAGGGAGAGTGTGAGGATGAATGAGATGCGGTATGGCCTCAGGCCTGTTGCACAGGTTGGAAATCCCTCCTCTAAAGAGACCGGCCCAAAGTTCTTGACATCAATCAAACACCCTGATCTCCCCAGGGGAACACCTGTGGGCTGTGTTAATGGATGTGGAGTCTGGAGAATCTTCCAAGAGATTTTATTATTTACATCATAAAAAAATAATTATTTTTTTCACTACATACCAAAAAAAAGTGATTTTTCCTTAGGACTAACTATGATTTTAATAAGAGACACATTTAAATTACTTGGAAACAATTTGATTCTTTTGAGATTGGCTCTTAAGCTTTGTTGAAAGAGAGCAGC